CATGAGACACAGGGTAATGGTGCTGCACCCTCCTCTATGGAGACACTACGGAGCCCCCAGCTGATCTCTTTATTTAGCTTCTGCTTGTTGGAGTGGAGTCAGAGGAGAAAGGAAATGCAAGTGTGTGTGAACATGAGTGTTTCCATCTATTAGTATGGGAGCATCTGTATCTCTGTTTGAATTTGATTGTTGATTGTCTTTTTTCCTCCACACACCTGGATTTATCTCTTACAACTGGTATCATATACTGTATCTACTTGTGTAGTATGGACCAGATGGCAGAATGATTAGAGAGCTTCCTCTTCTCATGTTGAGACAATATAGTTTTGTTTATCGTTGCAACAGTGTGGCCATGTTTGTTCATATTTGAATACAGTGGAAAGTTATTTGGTTCGTATTATGTGGTTAGTATTTTAACTTGACAGAGCGTTGGCCCTGTCGTTGATTTGCATGTCAGTACAGTTTATGGTGTGTGTGTGTGTGTGTGTGTGTGTGTGTGTGTTTTTAGAGGAAGGCTGCTGGCTGTGCAAATGAGGTGGTCATTCCACCTGCTATTTATTTGCATAGCTTTGGGGAAGCTTGCACAAAAGTTCCCATTGAGCTATTAATGGTCATTGACTTTAAGTTAAACATCACTCCACTCCCTCACCCAGCCGTTTGTCAAGAGCCTACATTAGACAAACCTGTACCTACATTGTATAATTTTCTTAGAAGGCTGAAAAGGTGCCGACTTGGTACAGTATGTTCGCTATGACTACGTAACATTTTTTGAAAAAAACATAGTAACTAAACAAATCATGATGATGTTCTTCATGGTCATAGCATGTTGCTTAACCATTGTGGCTGTTGGGCAGAAAATACTTATATTGATATAACAACAATTTTTATGGGGACCTTGGCATTTGCTGTCATTAAGGAAATAAAAGATTTAGATTTTATAAAACTTTTTTCACCAACACTGTTGGTAGAATAAAAACATGTCTGCTTAAGAAAAAGTTGGGAGAATAAATGCTTGTGCAAAAAAAGACATGGGTAGGTATGAGCACAAAGTTTTGTTGTGCAGTGTCCTTCATTTTTAAAGTTGGAGTGAAATTCCACCTTTTTTTTAAATCCGGCACGTCCCACTGTTAGGAAACCCTGGGGTAGACACGCTGGAGGGATTACATATCTCGTCTGACCTGGGAATACCTTGGGGTCCCGCAGGAGGAGCTGGAAAGCATTGCTGGGGAGAGGGACGTCTGGGGTGCTTTGCTTGGCCTGCTGCTCCAGCGACCCGCCCCTGGATAAGTGGATGAAAATGGATGGATGGATGGATGGATGGATGGATGGATGGACACAAAGTTAGCAACTAAGTTTTGAAGAAATTTGACCATATAGCATTATAAGACTCAGATTGTTTTCTCTGTGGATGGTGGAGACCAAACAGAACTCAAGGAAGAGGGAGTACATCCATTGCATTGCAAGAACAAGCAACAACCTCCAGGCTAAAAAATTAAGCCTCATGGCTAAGAAATGCCAAAAAACTGCAGTTCCTCATATGGCCACTTGAGGCTGGCTCCAACAGCAAGTCAGTTCTCATAGACCCCCATGTTAAAATGGCCAACACTACAGCATAAATACACATGTTCACAGCCCGGTACAACAACCAGTTTTGATCTCTATAGCTAATTCAACATCTATTAAAACTGAAGGGGGAGTAAAATGTTGTATAACACAACCATTGAAAAATTATTAAGGCTTAAAGTTATGCATTACCATTGGCGTGGCTGCTTTGAGTGACAGGCTGTCTGCGGAAAGTGTCTCAGTCAGAGCCACCCTTCGTTCCTCCGCATCTCCACCCTCTCATTCCAATAAGGTCATTTCTAGCTCCAAAATTCCAAGATGGCGACGACCAAAAAGGCCAAACTCAAGGCTTTAAAATGTCCACAAACCAATGGATGACATCATAGTGGCTATGTCTGTTATTTTAATAAAGTCTATGGGCGAGAATTGAAACTCCAAATGAATGCTAAAGTTTGTGTCTGCTGTGTGTGTGATCAGGCAGTGATTCGCTAACACAAAAAAAACCTGATAAGCTATATAGGCTGTCTGTCAGTGGATTTTTTTTTCTTCTCCCTACTGGCCATCATGCAATCAATTTAGCTTTAATAGGGGGAGCTCAGTCGATACACAGCAGTCCTTGAGTCAGGTGTAAAGGACTAAAGATTCGAGCCAGTCCCCACACAGGGCTGCTGGGCAAAGACGAGGAGGAGCTTCTTCCACAAGTGGTGTTGATGAGTTTGTTGACGTCTAGTGATGTAGGTGTCCATGTGAATAATGATGTTGTCGGTGTTGCTATAATTGGTCATGATGTGACAGAGCTTGCAGTCAATAAGGAACACGTGCTCCAGGAAAACAGTGAACATGGGATGTGCCTGAGTTTGTATTCTTGCTGTGTTCATGTCTAACCTGCACAGTTTCTCATTAAACCTGAGTGTAGCATACAGAGAAGGGGAATAGAAAAAGGAAGTGCATTAAAAATAATTAAAAACTAATTTATCCTGCTTCGTTTTACCATGTGAGGTCTGTATAATGAGGTATAATATTTTTGTCACTGGTTTCGTTATGCTCGGCAGATATGAAGCTTAGGAGAGCATATGACGGTATTCCTTGCATATTGCACTTAAAATTCACACAATCATGCACTTGCTCGTGGACATCTGTCAGTGTGCACATCTATGTTAATCCATGAATCATGCATTTAGGAAGCCAGAGAGTGGGAGAGTGAGAGAGAGAAAGAAAAAAACACCAGAGACAGAGGGTGAAACTGAAGATCAATGTGTTTTGCCTGAACAGCATGTTTGAGCGTGGGAAGTTTAGAAAAACTTCTCCTGGGCCTCACAGCTCAAAGCCATTCTGTATGTGTGTGTGTGTGCGCGCACCAAGGCATTTGTCAGTCTTATCGCTTCTCTCGGCTCTCTGTGGTGGTGCTGGTGCTGGTGGAGAGTAATTGAGTGCTTAGAGTTATAGATGAACTAATTAGTGGGCGCACTGAAAGCTCAGCTCATTAGTGGAAGGGAGAGAGCCCTATGCCGCCATGGCTCTGAGGGCTCTCTTTCATATCCAGCCTCAGCATAGGGAGACTGCTGCTCCATACAACTTCATTAAAGCAGCTGCAGGGAGGAGAGGACACGAAAAGGAATACGTGTTGAAATTAGGAAGAAAGTAATAATAATAAAGTATATGAACAGACTTGAAATGCACAGAGACAGTCAGAGTACACATATACGGTGCACAAACTTCTGACATACTGCAGGTGATGCACAAGACATTCATATTTAGACTAGAGCTTACTCCACTTTAACAACAAATACAAAGTTTGTGTAGTTTAGAGCTGCAACGATTAATCAATTAATTGATTGGTTGTAGACTATTAAATTAATCACCAACTAATTTGACAGTTGATTCAGTTTGAGAATTTTTTAAAGAAAACAAGTCAGATGATTCCAGCTCCTTAACTGTCAAATTTATTTTTGGGTTGTGGACAAAACAAGACATTTCAGATGTCATCTTGGGCTTGCAGAAACACTGAACATCACTTTTCACTATTTTATGACATTTGATAGACCAAAAAAAGGTGAGGTCAAACACATTATGTAAAGCACTTGTCTGCATCCAACATTAGAATCTAAACAATTACAATTTTTTTTTTTTTACTTATATGGTGCACCAAACATCACTTACACTACAACTAACTAATACTTAAAAGGATACTTAGCCAATTTTCAACCAGCTTTGTATAAAAACTATGTGGGTAGTATGTGCAAATGAACCGTGGTTAAATTCCCTCCATGTAACAAGTGCCCAGATAACCCTCTGCCCCCTCCCGTAAATTGTATCATCCGGTTTCGTCGGTTTTTGGGGTTTTTGCTTGAACTGCAGCCTGCACTTTTGCATTTATATTTTGCTCGCCACCTTTGGCACCACCATGGACACAGACAGCATAAGAGCAGATCAAGACACAAAACCCTCTGTCTCTCAAACTCAGACCGAAATCTGATAAAACTAGGCAGTGCTGATCGAATGTATGTCTAGATTCTGTCACTGAGTTGCCTATTTCTTGCCTACACTGTTTTTAGAAATATATTTTAGTGACGTGTTTAACCGTAATAATGAGACTCTGTGAACAGGAAGTGGGCGCCATACTGTTTCTTGCACAGTGATATCAGAAGTTAAAAAAACTGAGGTCAAACGGTTAAACTAGGAAGTGCTGATCAAATATCAACAAAGATTCTATTATTGAGTTGTTTATTTCTTGCCTCACATATTTTCAGAAACATGTTCTAACTTACTGCTTAATTGTAAAAGTTTGAGATTGTTTCTTGCCAGTCCACCACCTTTGTTAAACAGACACGTTTCCATTACGTCATCCACGAGCAGGAGTGTTTATTGGTTGGATGAGGCGCTTTGCATTCTAGTAGTAGTAGGTTTTCTCCCTCTTGAGCAATAGCTTCCCTTTTCTCTGTTTTTTCTGGTTCTATATCACCAATTTTAAAAAGTATCTGTGTCTTTCTACTGCGTAGACATCCTAGTTTTATTAAAAGGCCATCTTTGAAGTTACTCTTTAATTTGGCCAACTGACAATTTCATTATCACATAGTCGCCCCATTCAACTATCACAATTTCTTTAATTTCAGTGTTATGTCTTTAAATTGCTAGGTTTTTTTTGGAGTAACATACCAAAAATCAAAGATATTCAGTTGCATTACACAAAAAAGCAAATCCTAACAACAGAGAAGTTGGGACTCATAAATGTATGGCATTTTTAATTAAAAATGACTTTAATGATCAGTCGAATATGAAACTATTGGTTTATTTTCTGTCGATCAACTGATTGTTTTATCTTTCCTACTATGTTTGAGACTTTTGTGGTCCAGGTAGCGTCAGAGAGTGAAGTTAAGTGACTTAGGAAACTCAGGGATGCACAAAATTAACTTTCTAAATTAAATTTCTCTCTACAGTCTCTCTACAGTGAAATTGGCGGCATCCCAAATCCCCCCTGCTGTCAATGCTGGATATTGCTCCTGTGATGTGGAGGTAAGTGAGTTTAGGGGTCAAAGTGTCTTTATGCCTACCTTACACCAAACAACATTTCAAGTTATGTCACTGTTGCAGACAAATCATTAGAGTTTTACCTCAGTTGGTGGTTGCTCCTGTGATCTCAATTGTTGTCCTAAGTCTGTCTTTTTCTTGTCTTGACATTCTGACAAAATCATTGTCAATATTATCAAAAGTTTTTAGTCTTGGCTCATGATCCTCAGTCTTTGCAAATTCTTATGATGTGTGACTAAAATCTTTAGTCTTTTAATAAACTTTTCAAGGTCTTCCAGTGTATGGAAGGCATTAGTTGAACTTTGGCCACAAAGCCGTGCTGTGAAAGCAGCGTTACACTAGAACACACTGGCTGAGACAACAGCACCAGAAACCATCTCATTCATGTGATAATCTAAATTGTCACTGGTTGTGTCTCCTGCAGTTGTTGAGAGTGGAATGTGAATAATGTTTTTACTTGATAATTTACACAAAAAGATGTGTACAATGTGAACCTGCATGTTCACCCACAGCGTTGTTGCTCTTCCAGTCTTTGTGATGGACCATTGATGAACACCAGCACAATGGGAGGTCTTACTTAGTATAGGGCAGCATGAGCCGAACAGCATCCTGTGGATTGACAAGTTGTTATTTCTGGCTTCCTCATCGATTGGCAAGAGTGGCTTTTTATCGTGTCCATCAGAAAATGGACTCTGGCTACTTTCCTTTAGACAAGGCTAAAGATTTATTGACCATCTCTTTATTGAAAAAATCTACGGTGCAGAGCTCAGTGATGGAAATGAATTGATTAAGAACACTTTCTTCTTTGTTGATTACCGCAGAATTAGAGGAGAGCACTGCTGACATAAATAAAGACATCTTTTTATTTGTGCCCACAGCTTGAATTTTATGACATCTTGTATTGTACTGAATGAGCCATTTGTTATAGAGATTTGTACATTTTAATTCTAAATATATGGAAAAATTTGCTGTCAGTTTTTAACAAACTTCCAGTTCTGAATGTCTTAGTCTTGTAAAGCACACTGTTTCTTAGCCTCACCCTCCACTCTGTTTCACTCCAACTCTCTGAAACCCTTTTCTAAAATATATAAAATATAAATTTCTTTTCTTTATGCATGCCGAAATTTATAACTGCAAAATACATTTTTGTAAGGTTAAACCAGTTGACAGGTATCTATTGTGTCAGGTCAGTGTATGACATGTAACAGCAACATACCAAAACAAAAGCACCATATCAAAAACAAGTGCAAATTTGCAGTAGTTGTTAGGGATGTCGGATAGGTATCGGCCACCGATATTAGCAAAAAACGTGCATCGGCATCAGATCGGACTGCATGGAAAAATGCAGACCCAAGAACTCCGATCCAGTTTTTCATTTAGTCCGATCCAGGTTTTCCGGCCAGCCCAGCGCTCTGCTCAAGCAGTCCATTCCAGTGATCCGCTCCAGCACTTACTATCAATCCAACAGGCCAGCATGCAGACACACAGGAAACAGCAGCACCAGGCTGCTGTTTCCTGTGTGTCTGCATGCTGACACACAGGAAACAGCAGCACCAGGCAGACACACAGGAAACAGCAGCACCAGGCTGGCACTGACACTACAAAAATACCTGAAAAGGAAAGGCTGCATTGTTTGTTAAATGTCAACAATGTCTTGTGGTGTTAATCTACTTTTGTTTTATTAGGGGGCCAAAGCACAAGTGTGTGGAGTCTTGCTGCTATTTTAATTTCAGTGTTAGACATTTTAAAGATTTCCTGTGTTGATATATTTTCTATTTATTAAGGGGCCAAAGCAGCCAAAGCAAACCAGCTATATTTTTTATTTAATGTTAATGTTCAAGTTTAAAGTTTGTTTATTTAACCCTGTTAACAATAAACAGGTCAGTTTGTAACTAACTAACCCAATTAAGTAGTTCTTGTTAGAGTAACATCGCTTGATCAAACCTTTTCTAACATGACTGACAACAAAATAAGTGAATATGTATAATACGCGCTTGGATCGGATTGGTGTCGGTATCGGCCAAAACTCAAGGCTGTATAGTGTAATATTTACTGAAGTGTTTATACTGTATCTTTAAGTTGACCTTTAAAGATACGTGTTGAAGCAATGTACTCTGTGCAACTGACAAATCACACACAGGTTTATTATTTTATGTATTCTTATGACACACACATTCACTGAGTACTTAAGCATTGTGGTGGAGAAGTACCTAGAATTAAAAATAGCATGGAGGATGAGCTCAGAAACCACTGGTGGAAAGTTAGGGAAATTACAGCTTGTCCTGATATGACCCTAGAGGAGGCGGGTCTTAGACTGCCCAGAAAAACATTATAAGGTGGAATTGGCTCCAAGGGAGAAAAGGAGAGTGGGGAATACTATTATGAATGAGTGCAAGGATTAAAGCAGCCATCAGGGGGAGACAAGAGAAATGTGACACCGTTATGTTTCACCTCCAAGGGGGAAGGACTAAAGAAAAAGTGGAAACTCAGCAGAAATGTGACACCATTACGATCAGAGCCAAGTGGGAAGGATAAAGAAAGAGATGACTCAGCAGAAAATCTTCACAATAAAAATGAGTGCGCAAACAAAGAAATTCCAGTCCTGCTCCGGAGCCTGACTCATTGAGTTGTGATGTGTTTGTTGCCTGCGAGCACATTAAACTCAGTTGCATCTGATTCTACGTGTCTCCAGTGATTTTTTTTTTTTATCTCTGAGTAATTGAGTTTTTGATATCTAATAGAAAACAACGAAAGTCCGTTCGAGAAGAAAGGAACGAGGTCGTGAGCTTTCTGGCCCAGCTCCCGATCATTTGACTTTTGTTTCCACAGCTGTAATATCGGTATCAGATCGGAAGTGAAAAAGCTGGATCGGGACATCCCTAGTAGTTGTGACCACATTGCTTCCGCGTATTGCACTGACTTGCACAAAATTTTGGGCAAGTCAGTGGCTCAATTTGGGAGATATGCACCATTTTACAATAGGCCACTTTCTTGGCAAGAACACAGACAAACACCATTACACACACACAGTCACTCATATACTTGACCTTCATGCCAAATTTCAGCCTCCTGGGGCAAAAACTGTGGCCAGTGGGCCGTCTGACGATCCATCCGCTCAAACTGTAGAGCTGCTGGTCATAGCTAATGAAGTTTTGGACTGGATAAGACTGACTCATGAAATGTGATGATTTTCACTCATGCCACAAACAAACCTGACAGCCAGCATGGGACGTTTGCTTTATTTTATGTTAGTATTGCTATAATAACCACTGACCAACGTTTCAACCAGTTTGCCAGGAGAACTCCTGCTGCTCCACACAGCCAGTCCACCTCTGCTGGCAAAGTGCACGGGCCTCAGACTCACAGTGTCTCTGTCCTTCAATGGCACTATTGAGATTTTATTTCTTGGAACGACCACCCGTTAGACTTTTCCAACAGTTTGTTCCAACTCAAACTGTACTCCACTGATAACCCAGTAAACCTACTGATAGAGGACCACAGATCACCATGCCAGGGCATTATGACAGCTGCCAAGCAGCCAGTCCAAGCCAGGTTACCTCAAAACATTCTGGCCTATAGTAGCTAATCTGCCTCTTCCAGCTTGTGTCCGTCTGTGCCACAATACATCACAGCTACGACTCCCCAGTGCCACAGTGGGCGGGCACCATTAAGCTGGATGGATGTGGGAGCAACGCCAGTCAGGGACCGCCATATGAGCCTCTCTTTTCCTGCTTCCTCCTCCAGCTTGGTGCCCTTTAATGGGCACTTAATATGGCTGACAAATTTACAAGGCATTTAAAAATGACCCAGTCAGCCAGTCAGCAGAGAGGAGAAGAGGAGGAGAGAATGAGAAGGAGGAAAGAGTGTCCAATCTCATTTTCTCCTGCCGACCAGAGCAATAAACATGCTGGATTTATATCAGAGCTGGGTTATGGGATGAGCAGGCTTTGTGTATGTGTGTGTATGTGTGTGTGTGTGTGTGTGTGTGTGTGTGTGTGTGTGTGTTTAGTGTGCACACTGTCTCCCCTGTACAAATAATTCACCCTGAACACCTGTCAACATGAGTCACGACACCAGAGAATTCCTGCAATTGAGCACATCCAACTAATTGGTGGCAGCCTGCCAGACCCCCCCACCACATACACACACACAGACACACACACAAGCACTTCCTCTCTCTCTTTCTTTCTCACACTCACTCACATATTTATCTCTACATCTTACTCACACTCCACCTCCACTCCGCCCCTCCTCTCCTCTCTCTCGTTTTCCCCCCTCATCTATTTTAACATAACATTTATGGATGAATGATTTAATACTGGTTATCAAACCCATCATTGTAATCGCATCTCTAATTATGCTTAATTAAAACAGTCTAATGGCTGCTGCTGAGTTGGTTTTTGAAAGCGAATCAGCCGCTCTTCTCTCTCGCTAGAATTCCTCCCCTGACTTAGCATTCGGTATACTCACTCAACACCTCCGACAACCAATCAACTCCAAATTCTCTACCCAGCTCTTGTCAGGTCGTTAATTAAGCTCCCGAAGTGCCTAATGATTAAGATAACGCAGCAATCTAATGGTGAACAGGCTCTTTCCTCCCTCTTCTTTTTACAGCTTTCGATTATAGCACCCTTGAGGTGTTACTCAATCTTGATGAAATGCAGACAATTGACAAATCAGTTGCTTTGAGCCGGGGCTTATTACCCTGCTGCATATTCATGAGTTGTTTAGGGAAGAGTGGGATGATTTTTAATCAAAGTCACAGAAAAGGATGCTGGGAAAGCAGGGGGCTCTGTTGAGGGGTGGTGGGCTTGCCACACCTACTCCCCCTTCCCTCATCTCACCCAGCCTCTCACCACCCCACTGTGAATAACATGCATCATTCATTGGATTTAGCTCACATTTGCGTGGATGCAGCTGGCAGTGGAAGGTGTGTGTGTATGTGTGTGTGTGAGGGCTTGCTTCAAGGGGCCTTGGACAAATGG